GTCCGGGGGAGGCGATCCGAAGACTAAGGTAGAAATCACGGATCTATGGGTAAAAAACTCGTCGAAGCTCACAGCGACTAAGTCCGATAGAGGTCTTTATCCTACCACAGGAGAATCTGACGGAAAAGAAGCGGAGCCATTGCTTCCAGATAAAGTGGAGAAGAGCGTAGAGGAGGTGAAACAGTTGGTGCGGAGTAGAAGCGCGAAACAGTTTACATGGGTGCTCTTGTTGAAAGCGCACAAGGCGGCGGGGTGCGTTGCGTGGCTGGGATACGCCATCGCGTCGCTATTCAGAAATCTCGGAACGAGATTATCGGAGGACGATCAAGAGGATGACGAGGAGGAGGAAGAGGACGACTACGAGGGGTTAAACGCGCGGCCGTCGCAACGACTGCTATGGACGCTAAGGGTGCTGTCCGTGCTGTCGTTAGCGCTACTGGCGTTCGAGGTGCTGAGCCACTCGAGCGAGCTGGAATGGCAGTTTCAGCTGCACAACCCCACTAAGCACGTCATGCCGCTCATCGCTTCCATCACCGCCCGTTTCCACGCCATCACGCAAGACTGGGTCATCATCAGGTACTCGTCGTCTTGTCCGCAACTTCAGTCAGTGGCTGACCTAATTATGTCGTACAAAGGGCTGGTTGACTTAAGACGTCGCACATGCAGTGCTGGGTGGTTTCTCTTTCCCATTTTTTTCCTGATACGTCCAAGAAAAGGATCGGTCGTACCCTAATTTTACCGCATCGTTCGTATGAACCAATATTTGGCGGGGTTCTTAATTCCTTCCGTGTCTTACATTTGTTCTCCGCAGGACGCAATACATCGCGCCGCCATTGCAGTGGTTCGCGAACGCGTGCATCTACCTGTTCCTCGTGCAAACGGTGGACCGGCTCGTGCTGTGCCTGGGGTGCATCTGGATCAACGTCATGGGCATCAAGCCGCGCTGTCAACCGCTCGCGCCCTACGACCCGGAGGAGGCGGGGCAGTCGTACCCCATGGTGCTCGTGCAGATCCCCATGTGCAACGAGCGCGAGGTAAGCGCTTCGAGTTCCCCTACTCTTCATTGCGTTGCAAAGAGCGCGGTTATGCATTGCTTACAATTGTGTTTCCACTGCTCCAGCAGATGTCATGTCGCAAGTGTTTTTTTCGTATTCGTACGTTTTTTTTCCCGCCACGTCCGCGTCGCGCGTGCAGGTGTACGACCAGTCGATCGGCGCGGCGTGCAAGCTGGAGTGGCCGAGGGAGCGCATGCTGATTCAGGTGCTGGACGACTCGAGCGACGACGAGATCCAAAAGCTCATCGAAGCGGAGTGCCTCATGTGGCAGCAACGCGGCTACCCCATCATCTACCGTCACCGCGTCATCCGCACTGGCTATAAGGTCAGCATTATGATTTGGCCGTTCAACCCTTTGGGCATTGCTCCGGAACCTACCCGAAACAATCCCGTTCTGTTCGGATCGGCATGCGCAAGTATGGTGGTCCTGACCGATGACAAGTATGGTGCTCCTCGTTCGGATCGGCCGTGGTCTTGATACTGATCTCTTCGCTATCCTCGCTGTCTCCTCTCGCTGCGTTGCGATGCAGGCGGGCAATCTGCAGAGCGGCATGAACTGCGAGTACGTGAAGAAGTACGAGTTCGTCGCCATCTTCGACGCTGACTTCCAGCCCAAGCCCGACTTCCTCAAGCTCACCGTGCCGCATTTTAAGGTAGCGCCTACATTCTACAGTTGCTGTGATTTTTGAAGTAATACTCCCTATATGAAAATAATCTCCCATGTTCTCCGGTTTTCCTGCGTCCCCGTCGCCCTCCTCGTCGTCATGACTTGTCATGGCACCGACATTGGTTGGTGGAGCTTTTCGATCTTAGATGAACGGCTATTTCTATTCTTTTCAGAAGTTGTTTCCGCCCAACGTCACGTATTGCTCGTTCCGACCCCCTATTTCCCCCTCCTCCCGCCCTCTCGTCCTTCCGTCTTCGCCCTCTGCCTCCCTTCAGAACAATCCCGACGTGGCGCTGGTGCAGGCGCGGTGGAACTTTGTGAACAAGGACGAGAACCTGCTGACGAAGCTGCAGACGATCAACCTGCGCTTCCACTTTGAGGTGGAGCAGCAGGTCAACGGCGCCTTCATCAACTTCTTCGGCTTCAACGGCACGGCGGGCGTGTGGCGCATCACGGCGCTCGAGGAGTCGGGCGGCTGGATGGACCGCACTACCGTCGAGGACATGGATATTGCCGTGCGCGCGCATCTGAAAGGCTGGAGATTTCTGTTTCTAAACGACGTGGAGGCGATGTGCGAGCTGCCCGAGTCGTACGAGGCGTTTCGCAAGCAGCAGCACCGGTGGCACTCGGGCCCGATGCAGCTGTTTCGGTTGTGTCTGCCCGATATTATCACGGCGAAGATCGCGCTGTGGAAGAAGCTCAACATGATTTTCTTGTTTTTCTTGCTGCGGAAGATGATTCTGCCCTTCTATTCGTTCATGCTCTTCTGCATCATCCTACCGCTCACCATGTTCGTGCCCGAGGCGCAGCTACCGCTGTGGGTCGTGTGTTACATCCCGGGCATCATGTCGCTCCTCAACGTCCTCCCCTCGCCTAAGTAAGCCTTCGCGAAACATAAAGACGAACGTTGGATATCCGTCTCATCGTTCCCTCCCGTCGCCTTCGGCCACGTTTTGGGCTTTTCCCGCACCCTTACCATTTTGTGTTTGTTCTTCCCTTACCCTAGAGTAACTCGTTTGATCCCTTACCCGCCCTCCGTTTCGCAATCATTGCAAGCTCCCAGCATCTTTCTCCGCCATCTTCACCCGTGCGTGATCGCGTTACCATAACCACCCCGTGGCGTTCCCCCATGCGTTCCCTGGCAGGTACTTTCCGTTCATGATACCGTACCTGCTGTTCGAGAACACCATGTCAGTCACCAAGTTCCAGGCCATGATCGCGGGGCTCTTCCAGCTCAAGAGCGCGCACGAGTGGGTCGTAACCAAAAAGTCTGGCCGATCCACCGACGCCGACCAACCGCTCGCAACCACCGCCTCCGAACCACTGGTCAGTGAACCTCGTGGTGTGAGGGTTTAAGCGCAGCGCGACTTTATCGAAGGGTGTGAGTGAAGGGAGAGGTCTGGGAGTGGCCAGGATGGGTTTCTGGTGGCGCTCTTTTGCCCCCTCCCGTGTGCAAAACCCTCTCAAATTTCTCACCTGCCCTCTTCGTAACGCATGCAAACATCTTCCCCTCTCTGCGTTGTCTGACCGTTTTGTTGCGCAGGGCACTCTGAAACCGAGCAAGTCTGTTGCGAATATCTCTCGGCCGTCCACACCACCAGCTGCTTTCACCCGCACCGCAAGCGAGGGCATGCTCAACGTTCGGATAGAGGATCAGCTTAAAGTGAAGATAGATCAACCTTTGCTGACGACACCACCCAAGAGTACAGAGGCCATCACGCTATCAAAACCGACTGGAAGAAAGTGAGTGCTCTACAGAAAAACATATGCAACTCCCAACCCTGTTGTGTTGGGAGGCAAAGATCATAAATTGCTTTGGCTCATGTCTCTTTCCCCTTGCTTCATCACCTCCTTTCTGTCTCTCCCTCCGCAACCCCGTTTCCCAGACTGTACAAGAATGAGTTAGCGCTGGCGCTGCTGCTGCTAGTGGCGGCGGCGAGGAGTCTGCTGACGGTGGCGGGGATGCACTTCTACTTCCTGCTCTTCCAGGGCTTCACCTTCCTCATCGTTGCCCTTGACCTCATCAGCGACCGCCAATAGCTGCCCTCTCCGCTTGCCGTTGCTCCACGATTGTTTGAACCATCCATTGACCCGACCATGGCTCATTTGTGGCCCCATCCACTGGTCCCATCCACTGGCCGATTCCTGCAATGTGCACCAACAGCAATCGCTGGTCTCACCTCCACCAACCCTCCTCACTGCCATTGACTATGTAACTGCGTTCTCGGGGATGGATGCGATGGATCCACTCCCGATCCACTCACCGATGGATGCGAGCTGCTGCTGCTGCTGCTGCTGCTGCTGCTGACTGCTGTGTGGTTCATGCTGTGCTGAGGCAACTTCCTGAGCCTGTGAAGTCCTCTTGGTGCATATCTCATATCCCCTGAGGTGGCACAAGAGGGCTGTCAAAAGCTTAGGGAGGGGGAAAAAGGAATTTACAGCCGGTGAATGTAACAGAACGAAGCAGTTTGATTGGTTGGCTCCTAGCAGCAACTTGAAGCATTTCGTTGGTTGGGCCCTCTTGGGTGGGCCATCCCGGCCTAAGTGTGTTGAGCTTACCATCGAGGCTAGTCGTTGTAGTGGGCTTTTGTATTCTGCCTCCCTTAGGTGTATCCCTTAGGAATTATTAGATAACATAGTGCATGTGGGTGCATTTTTTGAGTAATAAAATGATGCACACACTTATTGGTAATAATTTGTTTACATTCGTTAACAAATATTAAGCTCGCTAGTAATATCGTTTTATGCTTTGAATCCTTGTGTACATTAGCGCGGACGGCGACTTGAGATGAGAAGCCCCTGCCTTCGGCTTCTCATCGAATACAGCACGGCCCAACACAGCTTCGCAACACCCCTTCGCTTCTTATAAACAAGTTGGATTCGAAGCTGTGTTGCGCCGTGCTGCGTTCTCGTCACTCCCGATCCCCTCGCTAGGTCATCGCAGACACGCCGATCATAACCCGCGCCGCTCGTTCCAGCGCTTAGGGTTGAAGCAAGGCACGCATTGCACAGTTGTTTATCACACCGAGCCAAGTTCTCCTTACCGAGCACGCTGCAGCTGCGCGACTCCCCGCGCGACTGCTCCCCGCGAGCTATTCTGCCTCTCACGTACGTGCGAACTGCAGTCCACATCCATCGCGCGCCGCTTCATTCACGCCGCGCTGCACCGCGCTGTGCTATCAGGCGCCAGTGCCAACACACGAGGCGCCGAGTTCGTTAAAAGCAACCGCCGCGCAGCCGGAGGAGCGCGGGTTGCAGGATAGCAGCGGGGCGCGGCGATGCAGAGCCTGGGTCGCGAGCTGGGCAGCCCGCCGGCGGACGGCATTTCGAACGTGCGCTTCTCGAACCACTCGGACCACCTCCTCGTCGCTTCCTGGGACTCCGTGAGTGCCGCCTGCCGTGCTGTGAGTGCCGCCTGCCGTCCTGTGAGTGCCGCCTGCCGTGCTGTGAGTGCCGCCTGCCGTGCTGTGAGTGCCGCCTGCCGTGCTGTGAGTGCCGCCTGCCGTGCTGTGAGTGCCGCCTGCCGTGCTGTGAGTGCCGCCTGCCGTGCTGTGAGTGCCGCCTGCCGTGCTGTGAGTGCCGCCTGCCGTGCTGTGAGTGCCGCCTGCCGTGCTGTGAATGGTGCTTTGAGTCGACTCACAACACGCCTGCTCTGACCCCTCGCCAGGCATGTTATGCCGTGAGTCGCATAGGCCGGCGCGAGTGGCTCGTGATGGCTTGAGCGTTGCTGTGCCTCTGTTGTTGCTGTACACTCACGTGCGTCCCGTCATCCATGCATCTGGCCCCTCACACGCCATCCCACTCTCTCCTCTGCTGCTGCTCCCTCTGCATGCCCTCTGCTCTCCAAGCTCACAATGCGCCTGCCCCTCAACACTCGCTCTGCATTGCCCCCTCCCCCTCTGCGGTTGCCGCTTACCACTTGCGCCCACATTCATTCCCCCACCACTCCTCTGCCGCGCGCTCAGAACCTACGGCTGTACGATGCGGGCGCCAACACGCTGAGAGGCACGTTCCCTCGCCGTGGCCCGGTGCTGGACTGCTGCTTCCATGACGACAGCTCTGGCTTCGCTGGCAGCGCTGACCAGTCCGTGGTGCGGTGAGTCTAGGAGGATGATTGGATCAAAGATTCCTAGGCGGTGAGGGCGTGGGGAGGTGAGGGCGTGGGGAGGTGAGGGCGTGGGGAGGTGAGGCGTGGGGAGGTGAGGGCGTGGGGAGGTGAGTGCGTGGGGAGGTGAGGGCGTGGGGAGGTGAGGGCGTGGGGAGGTGAGGGCGTGGGGAGGTGAGGGCGTGGGGAGGTGAGGGCGTGGGGAGGTGAGGGCGTGGGGAGGTGAGGGCGTGGGGAGGTGAGGCGTGGGGAGGTGAGGGCGTGGGGAGGTGAGGGCGTGGGGAGGTGAGGGCGTGGGGAGGTGAGGGCGTGGGGAGGTGAGGGCGTGGGGAGGTGAGGGCGTGGGGAGGTGAGGGCGTGGGGAGGTGAGGGCGTGGGGAGGTGAGGGCGTGGGGAGTTGAGGGCGTGGGGAGGTGAGGGCGTGGGGAGGTGAGGGCGTGGGGAGGTGAGTGCGTGGGGAGGTGAGGGCGTGTGGAGGTGAGGGCGTGTGGAGGTGAGGGCGTGGGGGCGTTGGGAGGTGAGGGCGTGGGGAGGTGAGGGCGTGGGGAGGTGAGGGCGTGGGGAGGTGAGGGCGTGGGGAGGTGAGGGCGTGGGGAGGTGAGGGCGTGGGGAGGTGAGGGCGTGGGGAGGTGAGGGCGTGGGGAGGTGAGGGCGTGGGGAGGTGAGGGCGTGGGGAGGTGAGGGCGTGTGGAGGTGAGGGCGTGGGGAGGTGAGGGCGTGGGGAGGTGAGGGCGTGGGGAGGTGAGGGCGTGGGGGCGTGGGGAGGTGAGGGCGTGGGGAGGTGAGGGCGTGGGGAGGTGAGGGCGTGGGGAGGTGAGGGCGTGGGGAGGTGAGGGCGTGGGGAGGTGAGGGCGTGGGGAGGTGAGGGCGTGGGGGCGTGGGGAGGTGAGGGCGTGGGGAGGTGAGGGCGTGGGGGCGTGGGGAGGTGGGGGCGTGGGGAGGTGAGGGCGTGGGGAGGTGAGGGCGTGGGGAGGTGAGGGCGTGGGGAGGTGAGGGCGTGGGGAGGTGAGGGCGTGGGGAGGTGAGGGCGTGGGGAGGTGAGGGCGTGGGGAGGTGAGGGCGTGGGGAGGTGAGGGCGTGGGGAGGTGAGTGCGTGGGGAGGTGAGGGCGTGTGGAGGTGAGGGCGTGTGGAGGTGAGGGCGTGGGGGCGTTGGGAGGTGAGGGCGTGGGGAGGTGAGGGCGTGGGGAGGTGAGGGCGTGGGGAGGTGAGGGCGTGGGGAGGTGAGGGCGTGGGGAGGTGAGGCGACGAGGGAGATTGGATTCACGATGCCCTCATCTCATCTCATCTCATCTCATCTCATCTCATCTCATCTCATCTCATCTCATCTCATCTCATCTCATCTTATCTCATCTCATCTCATCTCATCTTATCTCATCTCATCTCATCTCATCTCACCACCCATTGCCGTCCTGTGACTGACTGGTTGGCCCATGTGTGTGTGCGGTGGTGGGTGGGTGGGTGGGTGGGTGGGTGGCAGGTACGACTTCAATGTGGGGAGGGAGGATGTGCTGGGGCACCACCAAGGAGCAGTCAAGTGCGTCGAGTACTCACATGCCACAGGTTAGTGAGCCAATGGACGACAATACTATTCACGTGTGTCTCTGCACTCTGCACTCTGCTGCCTTGCTCGCACATTCTTATCCTTCTCCGGCTTCCACAACCCCCTCCCCCA